TCCTAGTGGTGAAGTTGTTGCATCAGAGGCTATGCATTTGTAATTTTGTTATCCATGCCAAGTTGCCCTCCTCCATATGGTGTTAACAACTTACACGCTAAGCAGCAAAGCCAGTTTCCTCACAGCTCCACCTACAAAGTATTTTTCATGCTTTTCATTTTTACTGATTTGACAGGTGAAAAATGGGCTTGCGGTAAAGTTTCCATTTGTTTTTCTTACTATAAGTGAGGTTGTGCATTTTTTTTTTATAGTTGAGGTATTGGTATTTCCTTTTCTGTGAAATATCTTTTCATATCTTTTGTTCATCTTTCTTTTGCTAATGTTTTTGTTTTTTTGTTTTTGTTTTTTTGAGATGGAGTCTCGCTCTGTTGCCCAGGCTGAAGTGCAGTGGCATGATCTCGGCTCACTGCAAGCTCCGCCTGTGGTTTCAAGTGATTCTCCTGCCTCAGCCTCCTGAGTAGCTGGGAATGCAGGCGCCTGCCACCATGCCCAACTCATTTTTGTATTTTTAGTAGAGACGGGGTTTTACCATGTTGGCCAGGATGGTCTTGATCTCTTGACCTCGTGATCTGCCCACCTCGGCCTCCCAAAGTGCTAGGATTACAGGCGTGAGCTACCACGCCCGGCCCTTTTGCTAATTTTTAATTTGCCAATTTCTTTTCTTTTCTTCTCTTCTCTTCTCTTCTCTTTTCTTTTCTTTTCTTTTCTTTTCTTTTCTTTTCTTTTCTTTTCTTTTCTTTTCTTTTCTTTTTCCTTTCCTTTCCTTTTCCTTTTCCTTTTCTTTTCCCTTTCCCTTTCCCTTTCCTTTTCCTTTCCTTTCCTTTCCTTTTCCTTTCCTTTCGTTTCCTGAGATGGAGTCGCGATCTTGGCTCACTTCAACCTTTGCCTTCCGGGTTCAAGAGAGTCTTCTGCCTCAGCCTCCCAAGTAGCTGGGACTGCAGGCGCACGCCACCACGCCCAGCTACTTTTTGTATTTTTAGTAGAGATGGGGTTTCACCGTGTTGGCCAGGCTGGTCTTGAACTCCTGACCTCAGGTGATCTGCCTGCCTCAGCCTCCCAAAGTGCTGGGATTACAGGTGTGAACCACCCTGCCCAGCCTTATTTGCCAATTTCTAGGCACTTTTTATATATTAGGAAGTTTACCCTATGTGATATGAGTTATCACAATAGGAGGAAAAAGGCTTCCTGGGGTCTCTGCAGGTTTTTAATTTTCCCCAGATTTGGGGTATTCTTTTTGTATTTTAAATTTTAACTTGTGTTTGTTGTCATGAGGAGTCTTGGTTTGTGTATTGTTGAATTTATCACTGTTTCCTTTATGGCTTTTGCGTTATCCTGGTTCACTATTAATGGCACACAATCATTCATTCCTTTTTCCATGGTGCCTCCTTCCTCTTTTCCTCTTTCAATTTCGGATTGACAGCAAAACACTTTTGGTATCTTCCCCCAAGTTTGCATTCCTGGAAATGTATTTCTCGTCAGTGATAGGGTAGCCCTTGATAGTTTTGTTAGGAGATTTTAGTGGTCTGTAGAATTCCCATTTTCTTGGTACAGGCACTCTGGGAAACTGACAGTTTCTTATAAAACTAAACATGAAATTACCATATGACCCAGCAGTTGCATTCTTGGGCATTTATCCCAGAGAAATGAAAACTTCTGTTTACACAAAAACCTGTACATGACAGCTCACAGCAGACTTGCTTGTAATAGCCCCGAACTGGAAACAACCCAGATGTCCTCCAGTGGGTGAATGGTGAAACAAACTCTGATACATGTATACCATGGAATACTACTCAGAATTAAAAAAAGAATTAACCACTGATATATCAACAACATAGACAAATCTCTAAAGTTTTATGTTGGGCAAATAAAAAGATCCAATCCCAAAAGCTTACATGATGTATTATTTCATTTATATAACACTTTTGAAAGGACAAAATGTTAGAAATGGTGAACGGATTAATGGTTAACAGTGTTTTAAAGATGGAGAGGGGGATGAGAGGAAGAGTGGGGTAGGTCTAGTTATAAAAGCAGCACAAGAAATCTTTGTGGTGATGGAACTTTTCAGCATCTGACCATAGTGGTGAATACATGAACCTGTGTATGGGGAAAAGTTGTACAGAACTAAATACAGACACAAATGAGTGCAAATAAAATGAGGAAATCTGGGCCGGGCACAGTGGCTCATGCCTGTAATCCCAGCACTTTGGAAGGCTGAGGCAGGCGGATCACCTTAGGTCAGGAGTTTGAGATCAGCCTGGCCAACATGGTGAAACCCTGTCTCTACTAAAAAATACAAAAATTAGGCAGGAATGGTGGCACATGCCTGTAATCCTAGCTACTCAGGAGCCTGAGGCGTGAAGATGGCTTGAACAAGGTTGCAGTGAGCTGAGGAGATCATTCCACTGTGCTCCAACCTGGAAGACAGAGTGAGACCGTGTCTCAAAAAAAAAAAAAGGAAATCTGCCCAGGTGCAGCGGCATACTCTGGTAGTCCCAGCTACTTGGGAGGCCGAGGTGGGAGGATCTCTTGAGCTCAGGAGTTTGAGGCCAGCCTCAGCAACAAAGGGAGATACCATCTCTAAACCAAAAAAGGGAGGGATGGGTAGGAAATCTGAATAAGATCAGATTATATATATGGATTATATCTATGTCAATATCCTGGTTGTGATACTGTACCATAGTTTTACAAGATGTTACCATTGAGGGAAATTGGGTAAAGGGCGCACGGGATCCTGTACATAGGATCTCAATAAAAATTTCAATTAAAAAGTCCCAATTTCTGCTAATACTGGATTCACCAAAACATACTGCCTGGAAGCAGGTTCAGTTCAAGTAACTGGTGCTCTCCTGTGTTAGGACTTGCAGTGCAGCAGCTGAGCAGTGGAATGTGGAGGAGCCTAGCAGTGCCTTGGGTTCCAGCCCTGTACTCTGCTCTGTCTCAGAAGATCTGAGAGCATCTACCATCATTTCCCAGGATTCTCTGGGACAGCCCCGCTGGGTAGCCCTTCGTACAGCCTGTCTGGAGGGAAAGAATACTGGCTTCAGCTCTAATATATCAGAACAGTGTGGGGTGGATGTTGGTGGTTGGGGACAGTGGGGAAGGGTTCCCAAGATGAGCTTTGGCCAGGTGAGGTGGCTCACACTGAGGCGGGAGGATCGCTTGAGCCCAGAAGTTTGAGACCAACCTGGGCAGCAAAACCCCATCTCTACTAAAAATACAAAAACTAGCTGGGTGTGGTAACGAGTGCCTGTGGTCTCAGCTACTCTGGAGGCTGAGGTAGGAAGGCTTGGGTCCAGGAAGTCAAGGTTGCAGTGAACTGAGATCGCACCACTGCACTCCAGATGGGCAACAGAGCAAGACTCTGTCTCAAAAAAAAAAGAAGAGCTTTGCTGTGCCCTGCACGTGACCTACTGTCATATGTATTCTGTGTTCCTTATGCTGTAGCATTGGCTCTGCTGTGAGACAGAGTGGCCTGGCATATGGTAGGGGGATCACTGGGATCCCCAAGACCCTGCTAGGGAATCTCTGAAGTCAAAACTATTTTTGTAATAATACTTAGACATTATTTGCAAATCATGCTCATTCTCTTACACAAGTGTCCAGTGGAGTTTTCCAGAGGCTCAATGATGTGAAATGGCAACAGATTAAATGCAGAAGCAGCTATGAGATTCCAGCTGTTTTCTATTAAGGCAGACATTAAAAAGGCATTTAAAAAAATAAACCAGTGGCATCATTTCACTTTTTTGTTTTGGAAGAGTATTTTCCTTAAAATGTTATTTTTGTTAATGTATAAAGGGGTTATCATTATATTTAAATGATATAATATTTAAGAATGTTCTCCGTTTTAATTTTTATAGGTTAATATCAAAAGATATAACTCACATAAAAGCTCTTTGGGGTCCTTGGTAATTTTTGAGAGTGTAGGGGTTCTGATAATTGAGAATTGTTTCTTTGGCAGAAAGCAATAGGCTTAATTTCTAGACTGGGCTTTGCTTTGTGAATGTGGGCATCATTTGGCCTCTTCAATTGATTTCTTCTCCTGAAAATGCTATTAATTGCCCTGCTACATACCTATGAAAATATAATCCTCTGTGCAAATACAGGGGAGATTAATGGCTGCATGGCTAAACTGGTGTTGAAAGAAAATGTAAAGAATGAGTTTCTGGCCTGTTAGCTGACAGTCTGTTTACTTGTTAAATGTCTTCATTTTAGCATCTCCTAGCAGTTTCTGTATACCTTTGATTTCTTTTTCTCAGTTTTTCAGAAAACCATTTTAATTATTTTAAAAAATTATATTCACGCATTTTCTTTTCTTTTCTTTTTTTTTTTTTGAGACAGAGTCTTGCTCTGTTGCATAGGTGAGATCTGCTCTCACTGCAAGCTCCGCCTCCCGGGTTCACGCCATTCTCCTGGCTCAGGCTCCTGTGTAGCTGGGACTACAGGCGCCCGCCACCGCACCTGGCTGATTTTTGTATTTTTAGTAGAGATGGGGTTTCACCGTGTTAGGATGGTCTTGATCTCCTGACCTCGTGATCCGCGTGTCTCGGCCTCCCAAAGTGCTGGGATTACAGGCGTGAGCCACCGCGCCCAGCCCACATGTTCAATTAATACGGGATTTATATTCCTAGTACCTTGAAGTGAGGTGATAAGGTCAGGAGCTCTGTTCTTGGAGAAACCACTCACTAGCTATGCGACTTTTGGAAAGTTACTTAACTTCTCTGCGTCTTGGCTTCCTCCTGTGTAAATGGAGCTAATAATACCTCACTTTCCAGGGCAGTTGTGAATATGAAAAATAGTGCACAGGAAGCAGTTAGCAAAAGTGCTTGGCACATAACAGATGCTTCATAAATAATAATTGCAATGATTGTCATTAACATATAGCAAAAGATGGAAGATTAAATTGAAGTCTTACCCTGTCTTCAGTGAACTTATTAAACTACTTTATTCACAAGTTTGTTAGCAGTCATTTTAATTTAATTTCATTTTTTTCTCCTTCGAAGGGCTATTGAGTGGCCAGACTTCCCCAACAAATGCCAAATTGGAGAAACTGGACTCTCAGCAGGTGTTGCAGCTCTGCCTCCGATATCAAGATCACCTGCATCAGTGTGCAGAGGCTGTTGCTTTTGACCAGAATGCTTTGGTTAAACGTATCAAAGAGGTAATGTGCTCCGGGAAAATAACATTGCTGACTGGTTATTATGATTCTCTGCAACTCTGGATGCCATCTTAAAACTTGACATTTGTCACTATTGCTTTGAGGAGATTGCTTTTTCCTAGCAGTAAAATGTGATGATGAAATAGTGGTCCACAGAGCTGGGCTAATTTACAGTTTGAATCGTGATCACCACCGATTTGCTTGGCCAAGTTGCTTAACTTCCTTCTCTTTGTCTCAGTTTCCTCATGTGAAAAATGGGGCTAATAGTAGTAACTTACCCCAAGGGTTGAGTGACAGATTGCTCAGTAAGTGTTAGCTATTATTAGTTTGTGTAAAGTCTTGCCATACTAATTTGCTCTAGCCACCATTCTATCTTTGAATTGACTGTAATCGTTTCCTGTGTGTAATTTATATTTTGTTTCCCGGTACATTATAATTTCTTTCAAAGCAGGAGTCTTGATACGAAAAGCTCCAGTGATTCTTAATGGTTTTATGGAAACAATTACGCCTATTTAACCCGCAAAGTTTTTAAAGGAAAGAAGCAATGTAATTCATGTGAAAGTACTTAGTAAACTGAAGAGCATGCTACAAATGTTGTATAATTATCAATCGCAGTAAATAGGTACTTCCTTTAAGCACTTAAATGTATCATTGACCAGCTGCTGCACAGCACAGTTCTAGGGGCACAAAGGAATAAGTGAATACATTTTCCGAAGTTTTCAGTCAAGAAAAGCTTTGTATTTCTGACACCTCGATGTACTGTAATATCAAGGGAATGTTAGGAGCTGTTTATTGGAGAAACCACTTATGTGAATGGCACTCCCAGATTTGTTATAACAACATGGCCCTTTAACTCTGGTGAGAGAAGATGATGGACATGGAGAAACAAGCAATGGGGCAAGAATCACTGCAGATTAACAATTTTTATTTAGCAATGGAGGTAGTACATCCTTGAGACTACAAAGTAGTCATTAGTTGTATTGGCAGATTTAAATTTGCCAACGTCTCCAACATTTTAGTACTTAGCTTTCATAAAATGTTGCATGCATATACTCTTCTCTCATGGGTTAAATACTATTATTTGGAAAACTATTAAACATGACCTTTGATATTGCTTTTCATTGATGTGGCTTTGCAGATATTATAAACTTATTTTACTATATTATGGTCTACCAAGCTTTAATTTCCAAACATGACTATTCATTGGCATCATGTGGGTTTTTTGTCTGTTTTAATACTTAGTTCTCCCCTCCTCCCAGTATGTCTAGGTGTGGTTTGTGAATCATCATTATTTTAGTAAGATAATATGATTTGGCTGTGTCCCCACCCAAATCTCCTCTTGAATTATAGCTTCCGTAATTCCCACACGTCATGGGAGGGACCTGGTGGGAGGTAATTGAATCCTTCGGGAGGCTCTTTCCCATGCTGTTCTCGTGATAGTGAATAAGTCTTACGAGATCTGATGGTTTTATAAAGGCGAGTTCCCCTACACAAGCTCTCTTGCCTGCCACCATGTAAGATGTGACTTTGCTCTTTCTTCATCTTCCACCATGATTGTGACGCCTCCCCAGCCATGTGGAACTGTGAGTCAATTAAACCTCTTTCCTTTGTAAATTACCCAGTCTTTTGTATGTCTTTATGAGCAACGTGAGAACAGACTAATACATAAGGTTACCAAATGATACTGATGCCACCCTCTGTTAGCTGGGATGTGGGAACCAGTGGTCTTAAGCACTATTTCTAAAATAAGTTCTACAAAACTAGTCCCATGTAAAGAAGGTCAAACGTTTTGCATATTCCCTCACCACCGCTTGTAAAATCACAAAGCATATTATTTCATTTAAAGTTCTTAGGAGTCTCACAGTAAAGAAAGCCAGACTTTTGAAACTTATTTGACCTCAGAACACTTATCTTAGGGAACATCTATTAACATCCCATAAAGTAGTGATTTTAGAACATTCTTTGGGAAATGCTATTGTAGACGTAAGACTTTACCTTTTTAATTTTTTTAGAGACAGAGCCTCATACTGTCGCCGAGGCTGGTGTTTAGTGATACATTCATAGCTCACTGCAACCTTGAACTGCTGGGCAGAAGCGATTCTCCAACCTCAGCTTCCTGACTAGCTTAGGACTACAGGTATATGCCATCATGCCTGGCTATGTTGTCTAGGATGTTTTCAAATTCCTGAGCTCAAGCGATCCTCCTGCCTCAGCCTCCAAAGCACTGGGATTACAGGTGTGAGCCACGGCCCCCAGCCAGACTTTACCATTTTTTATTGTTGTGCTAGAAGTTAATTAACTATGACATTAATGCTCAGAGAGGAGATCTTAGAATAATAATAAATTGGCTTTTTAGTGCTTATTCTTTTTAAAAAGTCCTTTAAGTTCAAGACCAGCCTGGCCAACTTTGTGAAACACCGTCTCTACTAAAAATACAAAAATTAGCCAAGTGTGGTGGTGCATGCCAGTAGTCCCAGCTACTTGGGAGGCTGAGGCACAAGAATCGCTTGAACCCGGAAAGTGGAGGTTACAGTGAGCCCAGATCATGTCCCTGCACTTCAACCAGGGCGACAGAGCCAGATTTCATCTCAAAAAACAACAACAACAACAACAACAACAACAAAAACCCTCTAATCCATATCTGTTGTTTTGCAGTTTAGCAAAGTATGGTACAGAGAGATTAACTGACTAGTTGTATATCAGAGAGCTGGGGAAAGTGTTTTATAGCTGGAAATACCAGACAGAGCTTCTATTATACCACATTTTCAAGACTTGAGAGCAGTGTTTCTCAGCCCTGGCTACATGTTAAAATTACTCAGAAATTTTTTCCTCCCATATATATGAGGGGAAATTTTACACATATACTGAAGAAGACAGAGTAAAAGAAGACAGAGTAACACAGTGAACCTTCATGTACTCATTACCAGCCACTACAATCATCAACTTGCAAATACTCCTGTTTCATCCGTATCCCTATTCCCTGCCACCCCCAACTGCATATTTTATAGTAAATCCCCAGACATGATTTCATTCATAAATATTTAAGTATATATCTTTAAAAGTGAAGGATTCTTTTTAAAAATAACTTTTAAATTTGAATTAATTTTAGACTTAGAGAAAAGTCACAGAAGTAATTTGAGAGTGCCTATATACCCTGCCCCATGCAGCTTGCCCTAAAGTTAACACTTTACATAAGCTTCATACAGTGATCACCAGGAAATTACTAACAATTAAATGGAGACCTTATTTTGAATTTTACCAGTAATTCCACAAATGAATGACTCAGTCCTTTTGAAAAATATAGTCACAATGCTGTATACCTAAAATATTTAACAATGATACCTTAATTCATTCAGTATAGCTGAGGTGCTGTTAAGAAAAGACTAATGTCTGGGTCTCACTCCAAACAGATTAGATCAAAATCTTTGAAGGGTGATAGGGTTGGGGCAGTGGGATGTTGGGTATTGTTATTTATGAAGGTGCAGTAGGTGATTCTAATATGTAACCAGGTGAGAACCAGTGTTTTGGAGCATTCATTTAAAAATAAACTGAGTTTGGCAGGCGACATGGCTCATGCCTATAATCCCAGCACTTTGGGAGGCCAAGGCAGGCGGATTGCTTGAGCCCAGGAGTTCAAGACCAGCCTAGGCAACATGGTGAAACCTCATCTCTACAAAAAAGACCAAAAAAAAAAAAAAAAATTCCAGGCATGGAGGTGTGTGCCTGTGTTCCCAGCTACTTGGGAGATGAGAAGAGGTTGCGGTAAGCTGAGATCTCCACTCCAGCCTGGGCGACAGAGCAAGACCCTGTCTCAAAAAATAAACAGTTTGAAATTCTGTTTGAAGAACTTTGGGATTCACTTTGAATAGTCAGTCGTTACCCAGGACTATTGCAAAACAGAGACCAGCACTCACAGTACCGAGCAATAGCCAGCAGGGCGCTTGGGCAGAGGAGATGAGCACAGTTTTGGGGCTTTCATTGGTGGTGTAATGTGTCCGTTGTATCTCTGGTGGTGAGTATTAGCAAAGTCCTGAATCATATCCATCCGTCTATGTTCACTTCAGACCTAAGGGTTGAAATTAGTCACTTCCAAATGAGTAAAGCAGAGGATGTCATTTTGATCAAACACCAACTCTCTGATATTATTCCAGATGTTTCCTGGAAATTTGGTTGGAAAGGTGAGGAAGTAACATAATACTATGTGTTGAAAAGTGAGGGAACTTAATAACCATGGAGAATGTCTGTTAGTGGAAGTATAGAACCGGGACCACCTAGAGGTCCCTAAGATGACAGTACCTGTGATCACTTAAGTCTGCATCAAAGGGAAACATGGCTATAACTATTTCTGATTCAGATAAAAGAAAATCAGAGAGTTGGCTAAGCTTTCCTTATGTTAAATTTGGATGATGCTCTTGAATGAAAAGTTTATGTTTATAGACTTGTGCATGTGAGGGAGAAGAATGGAGGTAATTTACTTTACAATCAGGGAGTCTAGTGACGTACCTTGACTACTGGTTTCTTTAACGGCGATAGGATGGCCCCTCAGCCAGCACTGTTGAGCAGCTATTGCAGACCCACCTAGTGGGAGGTCCTTTGGGGGTTCCAGAGACATGTAACCTGGTCCCTGCTCTTTGAGAGTTTAGCCTCGATGAGGGAATGAAGATACACAGAACAGAAGTATGAAAAAGGCACTGTTGAAGGGGGTGCTCATTTGTGATTTATAACTAAAGCTCTGTAAGAGTTAATGATCAGGATATCCTGGAGCAGACGGGGTTTAAGCTAGATATTTGGGAAAAAAAACCCAGGAGTTGGGAAATGAGAGGCAGAGGGGGGCATTGCTGCAGGCTAACAGCTTGGCAGTCTTAGAAGAAAATTAACTTCGGGGCTTCAGGGACGATGAAGAAACTGGCCGGAGTTTCGGTGAGCTTGCTCAGAGAAATCTCTGCATTCGGAACCACGGAAGGTTGGAATTGGAAGGACCTTAGAGACCCTCTGGTCCAGTG